CTTTATTATTTACTGATTCCCTGCACAAATACGACCATTTCTTTTTATTTTTCTTGGCGTTTGAAGCAGTTTGAGTATATCTGATGTACCAGTATATTCGATTTCAGGTTAATATACCTTTTTTCATGACCTGAAAGGTTGCCCGGGTTAGTGAAAAAAAAATTATGAACACGAATTTTCTGTTTTATGGAATGCAGAAATTTGCATCTAAGATATTACAATAATTATTAAAAAGTTTGTTGGCTTTTTGTCTGTGGTCGCTCTTCATTTAATAATAAATTATATTAGCCTAGTTCGTTACATTTGTTTGGGTTTTTCTTTTAAGACGTTCTAAAATATAATCTATCGTATACATAGTACTTTAAAATAGTTTTCACTTATTGAAAGATTTTTACTGACACGAAAGTATAGTTTGCAAAGGAAATGCAAATGTGAATTACATGGAGAGCAGTGTGGGACACGCGATACAAGAGTTCCCCCTGTAACATAAATCACACACACCCCGTTTTCCTTCTGATGGATGACCCGCTAATAACAGGTCCCTAACACTGCTCGGTGATAACATTATAACCCCCTCTAAACCCGCGGATGCACATAAACCTTAAACCACAGCCCGTGTTTTTTTTTGTGCATCCACTCCTCTGTTGGTTTTACTTGTCGCGGGACGGATCTTGTTGCGTGTAATTAGGTGATGGATGAGTGTGGCTCTTACCCGTCTCTCCGTGGTGATGGTTTCTGTTCACTCTTTGTTGACCACAACTACCTGAGAGAATTGCTACTGCTTAATATAAATGGTAACCAGGTGGGCAAGGAAACTAAGCATTTATAGTTCTAAAGACAAATCATAAGCTGTTCTTTCAGTTTTTTTTTTTAAATGCCTTGTCTGGGACCGAGCCGCGGGGTCAGTGACCCCCGAAATCGCCTCCAGGTAGACGGGGTGTCCCAAATTGCCTCCGGGTCGATGGGGTGTCTCGAAATTGCCTTCAGGTAGACGGGGTGACCCGAAATTGACTCCAGGTAGACGGGGTGTCCCGAAATTGACTCCAGGTAGACGGGGTGCCCCGAGATCGCCTCCTGGTAGACAGGGTGCCCCGAAATCGACCCCAGGTAGATAGAGTGGACCGCTGCTAAGCCACAGGAAGGCCTTGGTCATATAAACAAGAGTTCCAGTTAGTGGTTCCTCGTAACTAAAATCTTGTCCTGTTTCCCGACGTATAAAATACCACCATTTGAAGGTTATTGACTTTTTTTTGCTGCAGGTGAAGTCCTACACCCGTGTGGTTCATTATGCACAAGGTATGGTGGAGGCTTGGTCCACCATCCACAAATTTCAAAAAAATCATTCTTTTTTTTATATAAATTTGAAGTTAAATTCTCTTAAGATCTTCCAAGTGAGTCTCTTGATGACGGTGAGGGAGATACTCTTGATCCAGGGAACTGGAGGTTTCACTCCAGGTGTGCAGCGGACCGGTGATGGGAGGTACTGTGATGATGGGAAGTACTGTGAAGGCTTCACTGAAGGAATTATACAAAATTTGGTCTTGGTGATTGTCGAGTGATACACGGGTAATGACACAGGTAAACTTGATTGGTTATATTATGGCTTCAACTATTTTGGTGAATACAACTGTGAGTAGAGATGTCAGTCAGTTTGTTGTAAGCAAGTAAGCAAGTATTGTAGTAGGTACAGTTAACAGGTCTACCCGTTTCGGGGGTCAACACCCCCGCAGCCCGGTCCATAACCAGGCCTCGTGGTGTATCAAGGCCTTAACATCCAGGCTGTTACTGCTGGCCGCAAGCAAACTGACATAGGAACCACAGCCCGTCTGGTCAGGAACTGACTAGGTGTCTGTCCAGGTCCCTCTTTAAGACAGCCAGGGATCAATTGGTAATCCCCCTTATGTATGCTGGGAGGCAGTTGAACAATCTTGGATCCCTGACACTTATTGTGTTGTCTGTTAGCGTACTCATGGCGCTCCTGCTTTTCATTGGGGGGGGGGGTGATGTTGCACCACCTGCTGAGTCTTTTGCTTTCATAGGGAGTAATTTCCGTGTGCAGATTTGGGACTAGTCCCTCTTAAGATTTTTCCAGCTGTATATTATAATGGCGACATTATTAAGCCATCCATGTGGCGAATTTTAAGATTGACATATGAGCCTGACTTCAGGTTTTTTTTTTTTTTTAGGTGAAGTAGAGAGCCTCCACTTGGTACGACCTAGGGAGGGTTTGGAGTGTCATCTTCATTGACTCATGTCTTCTTCTGGAAAGACAGCTAGGAAACAAGTGATGGGGAATGGGTTTTCTTTGTCTTGTTTACCTGTCTTCATAGGTAATGGCTGTGTTAAAAAAGTTAATTAGCAAAGATTAACAAATGGCGTAATATATAGCACGAACTATGTTTAGTTATTGTTTATTGTTTTTAATACATCGAAGGCTAAAATTTGTACTTTATATATTATAACGAATATTGTGAAATATTTTAATTTCTTGTCAGATCATGAAGATTGAGGTAAACTTGGTACGAGCATTGATCAATGGAAAATTTTTGGGGCAGTGGAGTGGAGCTGCGAGCGGGTGGGTGATGGATGAAGTTGGGCGACCCGTGCGACCCGCTAATTGGCCGGGTGATTGATAATTACCTGGATGATGGGGTGGACGGGCGGGGCGTGAGGGTGCAAGCACTCAACCTTGCACCCACCCCATTACCAGGCTTTTGTCGGATATTTAAGAGCTTGCTTTCTCGTCACGCTCATCCCTCCACCCTCCCCGGCCGGCTAACAAGCGAAGAGCCTTGTTCATGAAAATGATCCAGTCTTATTTACCTTGTTTTAGACTTTGGAAGTCTAGCCGCGTATGCCTCTCGCTGCTTTCCATTTAATTATTATTTAAACTTAAAAATTATGAATAATAACTATTTTTTTGGTGCCTTTGAGAACCGAAATTTATGGTACATTTTGAGTTGCTGGTTTCTGCGCATCAAGTGGTGTTGTGTTCACTATTTAATATCGGTGGATCCATTTTTACGCTTATTTTTAGGTATTTTTTTAATTTGTAAATATATTATTGTTTCGTCGATAAAATTTCTAGTTTCAGGTTTTCTCTTTGATAAAATACATAATAGAGGGTATTACACCTTGACCACGCAACTTTATACTGCGGGTAGAAGCTACGTGGAGGCCACTGCTAACTCTGTATTTTCACTAGAGGGAGTCTGTGAATCGTCATAATTTGTCTCTCTGGAGTCACTAAACTCGTGGGTTCCAAGGTACAGGTTTGTTAAGGGAAAATGTTGATACACTGTTGTGTGTTGGTGCGCCTCATAATGTGTGTTGACTGGGAGTGTGTGATCCCGCGGATTAGAGATTCACCCCGTTTGAAACTTGGTGTTGATAGCTTGTCATTTCATTTGTAAACTGAGGTGTTGCTAGCGACTACATCTCGTGTAGAATGCACTTTCAATAAACGGTAGTTTTTTCACATGTAGTTGTTGACCACCCGTTGCCCTACGAGTGCCACCTTAATTAAGCGGCCATCCCAATGCAGAACGTCAAGCCCGTAACCACGAACTTTCTTGGTGAATACTTTAACTTGTGCTGGATGACCCTCGCAGGTTTAGCGCTTTTCGTCAGTATTGTATGATAAAATATCTCGTATAACATTGTCAACATTCATATTATTTAGTCCTATATTAAGTTAGTGAATAGGTATCTTATTTTTTTTCCTTGAACTGGTGTTACCTGTGGTATTCTTGTAGATGCTTACGAGAATCGTCACTCCCGCCGTCCGGTCCCGTATCAGGTCTCTGTTGATGGCTGGATCAGTCAGGCTGTTAGTGTCACTGAGAATATTGAGCTGTTTCTCAATAATGGAAAAGAATTACCATTTTTCATGGCTCATCAAACATAAGTTATTCTTCAGGGACAGAGGGTGTTCGGTATTGCACTGAAATCCAGTAAGTGCCATCTCACCACTTCGTAACTAAAGTGTACATATTTAAGGTTCGAGGTTTTATAGTAATTAAAAACACGAATGCTTTATTTCGGTGACGTGACTTCCATACACTGACATAACAGCCTCTTTTCTCATTTTTTTTACGCGAATGAATTTGAGACGAAAGTGGTTCATTTGGTTTCGGAGCCCAGCTTTAAGGTTCCGTCTTTCCCTCATCTAGGAAGTCATCAACAGTAGTTGACCAGCTCCCGGGTACCTATTTACTGCTAAGTGAACAGGGACGCCAGGTGTAAGGACAGTTACCCATGTTTATGCACTGTAATCTTTGTGCTGTGTATTATAACTTCGCTGTTAATTATTTCATGTTGAAATGCTCCAGGTTTGTGTGTTTCATGATTATAAATTCATCTTACAAGGTCGTATGCTGCGTTGTAACCTCATTCTACAAGGTCGTAAGGTCATAAATAACAAAAAGGCACAATACCGTGACTGGAACAATACACAGATAACCTGCACATAGGAGAGAGGAGCTAACGACAACGTGTCGGTCCGACTTGGACCAACTACTAAGTCACACACCGAAACGTCGTCGTTAGCTCCTGTCTCCTATGTGCGGGTTATTTGTGTATGTGTCGTAAGGTCATCTCACAAGGTACCTTAGCTGGCCTTGCCATTGAGTACCTCAAAGTAGATGAGTAAGACACGTGCAGCACTTGAATATCTTTATCATGAAGACGTTTCGCCAACCAGTGTTTCGTTTATAATTCAGTACAGAGTTTATACACTAGAAACAGTGTAAGGCACTTAGTACTACCAGTTTATGTATGAGTGTCACACCGTGAGTCAGTATGTGCTTCAGTGTGGAAAAAAAAATCCAGGAGTTTAGACAACTCACAAATGTTCACGAAATGGGTTAATGTGACAGACACGTTTCTTGAAAAATGTTATGCCTAGTGCACCTAACTCGTGGTCACCGTAGCTTGCTTAATCAATAGAATTGTGTAATGAACTCATTACTATTAATAGTATAATATAAATTTGTAAATAGTTGGCAGCAGTGAAGTTTGAAGCAGCGTTGCCAAGTGTGCAGGTTACCTTGGCCGTGCAGGGCTCCAGTGACTCACCTTTGACCTCCAGCAGAATAATCATGGTGCGCCTCGTTTAATAAACTGCCAACATTTACTCAAGTCAGTCTCTTATTTCTTGTGATATCAACAAGAGCAGCTCCGTAATTTATTCATTCCTCCGGCGTAGCCTTTTATCATGTTTATATGTAATTTTTCTGGCTATATTTTTCCACCTATATATTGTTAGGGTTATGAGGGTTGACTGAACTAAGGCGCCGCCGACGCTGGCTTATTGAGGCTGGCTTGCATCTATCTCGGGAGAATATTACTCTTGCTTTAATACCGTGGGTGTAGTGGTTAACATGTTCTGGTCTCAACATTACTAGTGAGACGGAGGTTCGATCCCAGCCTCATTCCTCTCTCCATAATGCTACATTCACAATAATTATATATATATATATATATATATATATATATATATATATATATATATATATATATATATATATATATATATGTCGTGCCGAATAGGTAAAACTTTCGATTTTGGCTTAAATAGCAACGCTTTTCTTGCCGAATCGGGCAAGCGAAAATTTGTGTTTGCAATAATTTCGCAAAAATCATTCTGAACCTAACGAAAAAAATATATTTCATTGTTTTTGTTTATTGTTAAAATATTTTAAACTTATCTAAAATATATTTAGTTGGATTAGACTAAATTAAATTGCGCTTGTTATAATAAGGTTAGGTAAGTTTTCTAAGGTTCTTTTGGTACAAAATTGTTAATTTTTACATTAATAAATGAAAAAAAAATATATCTTTAATCCTAAGAGAAAATTTTAGAAAGGACTTAGTTTTAAACGAGTTCTTCTTGACTAGTTTTACCTAGTCGGCACGATACACACACTATATATATATATATATATATATATATATATATATATATTATATATATATATATATATATATATATATAATGTATATATATATATGTCGTGCCGAATAGGCAAAACTTGCCATTTTGGCTTAAATAGCAACGCTCATCTTGTCATATACGACAAGTGAAAATTTGTGTATGCAATAATTTTGCCAAAATCATTCTGAACCTAACGAAAAAAATATATTTCACTGTGTTTGTTTAGTATTAAATTATTGTAAACAAATCTAAAATATATTTAGTTGGGTTAGGCTAAAATAAATTTTTCTTGTTATAATAAGGTTAGGTAAGTTTTCTAAGTTCCTTTTGGTGCAAAATTATAAATTTTTACATCAACATTAATGAAAAAAAATTATTTTTTAACATATAAGAGAAAAATTTAGAAAGGACTTAATTTTAAATGAGTTCTTGCTAATTGACCAGTTTTACATATTCGGCACGACATATATATATATATATATATATATATATATATATATATATATATATATATATATATATATATATATATATATATATATATATATATATATATATATTACAGGCACATTCATGGTACATTCTGAACTTTTTATAGCATGAGCGGCTATTACTCCATACATAGATGGCCGTACTTAATTATACATGTAAATATATACAGAGTATATATTACACGCAGCACTAGTAGTTTATATTTTAGCTTACTTTTGCAAAAATGTTAACATTTTATTAGCTTGATATATGATACTCGGTACATTGTACATGTGTATGTTCACATATAGCACAAAATATAAACCAGACAAACATTACATGTTCTTAACATTGTGTGTTGATGTTAACTTGCTCAGCATCACTCTGTTAGCAATGTTAACTCTACGGTAGAGGACATACGAGATATGTGAAAAACGTGTTTCCTCTATTTGACATTGCTTTAGAAATATTTTATAGAGCAGTAAAACCTTGTTTAAAATGTTTACATCATTGTGTTTAGGGATTCACTTGCGTCAAGTGCAGTACTGCCAGACGGGACTTCCGTGGATCACCTTACCAGAAACTGTTGAAATCTCCCACAGCAGCTACTAGTAATATTGAGAGGGAAGAAGCAGCAGCAGCAATAGCATTAATAAAAGGTGTAACTGATAGTAGCAGTAATGACGTAAAGGTTGTGGCTTGTGGGTAATATAGGGTTATTGCAGGTGTTAGGAGTGTGGAATGCTTGGTACACGTGTGTGACAAATCCCAGTATGTCAGTTGGGCAACCTGCTTTCATGCTAATAATAGTGTTGTTTTTTAAAGTGAACGAGTCAGATTTAACAAATACCTGGAGATACCTGGAGAGGGTTTCTTGGGTCAACGCCCCCGCGGCCCGGTCTGTGACCAGGCCTGACTACGAGAACACACAATATCCGTGCACATAGACGGTATTTCTTTGTTGAAGTAATGTTTTACTGCTAGCAGTTACGTCGGCCTGTGGGTGATAGGTCAAGTGCCTCTCTTAACCTTGCTGCTATAATTTGAATTATTTCTTGTATATAAAAATGTACCTTATTTAATCATATTTAATGTTTTCCTGGCTACAGTTCAATTTAAACTTGAGAATAGATAACAGTGTTATGAAAACGAGAAGTTGACTTCGTTGTAAGTATAACAAAAGAATCAAAACCTTTTGTTAAGGGACTGTAGGTGACAATGAATACTTTATGGGAACTGTAACAAAGGGATCAAAATCCTTTGTTAAAGGGCTGTAGGTAACGAGGAATACTATGAGAAGTATAACAAAGGGATCAAAATCCTTTGTTAAGGGGCTGTAGGGAACAAGGAATACTATGAGAAGTGTAACAAAGGGATCAAAATCCTTTGTTAACTGGGCTGTAGGGAACAATGAATACTTATTTCATTACAGTGGAATTGAGATCCTCATTAGTAAGCTTGTTAAGTGTAACTGAATCGTTATGCCATAGCAATTGGATGGTTATTCTCATTTTTTTAAGTCAAGGGTCTGCGAGTAATTGGGCTCTTGTGTTGGAACGGAGAAAAGATAAGTGCCCTTGTTTTTAAGAAGATCTGAAGATGTAATTGGGCTGTTAGGTGGCAACAACGGGGGGTGAGTTGGTAGTTGCGGTGTTCAAGAAACACCTGCGGTTACTCTGTGGTTGTGTATTAAAATTATGCTTATTTCTTCTGCTAATGAGGAAATTTAGTCATATCATAGGCAAGACGGTACGTTATTGCACGTAAGTTGGTACATAATAGCATGTTAGAGGGTACATCGTAGCTTGTAGGAGAGTCAGTGCTTGTAGAATCAAGCAATACAAACTTTGCTCTTTTATTTAGCAAAGTTATATACATTAGCAGTGTCCTGCTACCCTGATCTCTGTGAGTCACATAGTGGGAACAAAAACTAGTTGTTTCCCCAGTCACATTCCATCACACAGTATGAGTTTCATACAGTGTTGAAATATTTCACTCAGAGCTGGGAGACTTCAGTGGGGCAATGAAGATATCAAGTCCCCGAGTGGACTAAATTAACCTGTCTCAGGCTAGAAGTTCAACCCCTAGTTCTCAGAAGTAGAGTTGAATATATGAACACTTGTAGTTGTTGAAATCTTCCAACGACAGACTGGCAAAGAAAAGAATCTCCTTGGCTCCCAATCAGCGATGTATTTATCTCCACTGGTAACACCTGGCTGAAAACCTTGCTGGAAATAAAAACGAAATTGATCTGCCAGGAGACTAGTGTTCTCCAGCACCGTGGCAACCGGAACTAGCAGATTGTTATATTGCTTCCCACAGCGAGCAAATATCTGTGCAGCAGAGACACCCTGCTGAGCCACGCGGAATCAAACTTGGCCCAAGCTGAAGGTTCAAATGTTACAGTGTACTTCATTGAAGGATCAGTGGATCCAGATAACGAGCGTCCAACAGCTGGTCTTTTATCATGATAGACACTCGAGGTGATGGAGACTTCCTAACTACTGCTCAGTGCTACAAGCAAGTTATTGACTATCCAACAAGCACTAGCTTGTGCTTTACAACAGTTTAAGCAGTGCCATGTTCTCCACATATTCCACGAGGGCTCTTCAGTCACTCCAACGCACTCAATTACAGGACAACGTAAGACTCGTCCTTGTAGTATCTTACAAACTCCAGATGTTCAGGAAAGTAAAACCACACTTAACAGGATAATAAACCACGTTGGTATCCAAGGGATACCAAGGTTGTTAGGGGGGTCAACGCCCCCGCGGTCCGGTTCTCAACCAGGCTTACCTGTGGATCAGGGCCTAATCAACTAGGCTGTTAGTGCTGGCCTCACGCAATTCAAAGTATGAACTACAGCCCGGTTGACCAGGCTTACCTGTGGATCAGGGCCTAATCAACTAGGCTGTTAGTGCTGGCCTCACGCAATTCAAAGTATGAACTACAGCCCGGTTGATCGGGGACTAACTTTAGGTATCTGTCTTGTTCCCTTTTGAATGCAGTCAGGGGTCTATTGGCAATTCCCTTTATGCATGGTGGGAGGCTGTTGAATAGTCTTAGACACCGGACACTTATTGTGTTCTCTCAGTGTACTCGTGTCTCCTCTGCTTTTCATTGGAAGTATGTTGCATCGTATGCCTAGTCTTTTGCTTTCGTAGGAGTGATTTCTGTGTGCAGATTTAAGACCAATCCACCTAGGATTTTCCAGGTGTAAATTGTGATGCATCTTTCTCGTCTGCGTTCCAGGGACTACAAGTCATGGGACTACGAACGTTCCCAGTAATTAAGGTGCTTCACTGAACTAATGCGTGCAGTGAAGGCTCTCTGTACTCTCTAGATCTGTAATTTTACCTGCCTTGAATGGGGCTGTTATTGTGCAACAGTATTCCAGCCTAGAAAGAACAAGTAACTTAAAGCGGATCATTATTGGCATGACATCCCTTGTTTTGAAAGTTCTCATTATCCGTCTTATCATTTTCCTCGCAGATGTGGTAGTGACACTGTGATCCCTAAAGGCGAGGACGCAGATGAAGCTGCAAAATTAGCCACTTGGGATGAGTTATGTACTTGTTCCCATACCAGGGAGCCTACGACAGACTAAAGAAATTAATACACAACCTGCTAGACTGTCAGGCGACACTGCCACTACAAAGTCGCCTGCTTCTCTCACCGTTATTGCACCAGGAGCTGTCAATACTACTTACTGCCTCCTGTATTCCTAGGAAAAAATTATTTAAGAATATTGACACCCAGACTAATGATGGTATCCACCCCAATGATAACCTCTCCATACACACACCAGTCAGTATATGGTTATTAGGTATAGTTACACATCTCTGACCAGCCGAACGCCAGAGTTGCGGAGAATCAAGAGCTCTAACACGGACACACTGTGACCTAGTCAAGAACACAACCACGCAAGTTGTGACACAGTTTGTATAATGTTCTTAATGAGCCACTGGGCAGGTCATCACATGATTTAAGATTCGCATCTGGTGACTTTCCTCTTGATTAAAAAACAATACTTCGTAGCATTTAGATACTACTATATATTATACGCAAGATAGTACATCATACTGTGGTGTACCCTCTTTCCTATGATGTACAGTAGGTTCTTAAATGCTATGATGTATTATCTTGCCTATGGTATACAGTAGTATGTTACTCATACTAGCATTTTAGATGGTGCATCATTGAAGGTGTTACATCATACATGAGACGATACATTGTGGCAGGTGAGATGGTACTCTTGTTTCTTACGTTCAGGAAAGACATATGTTACATCACTGGTGTTTTACACGATAAACAGAGGAAATTATGGGAATCTAGTGCCGGATGCTGTTAAGCTGATGGGGCATCCCCGGAGTGTAATTGGATGGTAATATCGTAATAAGCATGATGGTCTAATTCTGTTTAACAACGAGTGCTTGTTTGTGTTGACTAGTGCCATGGCAGCGAACACTTACCAGGTTTTATATAAAGGCATTTTGGATTTTACTAGGTTCATTAGTAAGGTCTGCGAAGCTTTATGATATCAGATGGTAAACAGTCGGTGAAGATCTGCGAGGTTGTGAATGGCGGTGATTCCCGTAAGGAAAACTTGTTTGAATGGACTAGACTTTGGTGGTGGTTCATCGCCACAACGCGGGGAAAATCAGTCTAATTTTAACCTTTAGTGTATTTCCCGGGACACCACTTTGCCAAACATGTTGCATCTGTTTTATAAATATAACTTAATTTTGGCTAAACGTGGTTTTAAATTATATATATATATATATATATATATATATATATATATATATATATATATATATATATATATATATTATATATATATATCTCCTTGACGAAAATGTTTCAGGGTTAAACTGCACTTTTTTCCACATGGCGTTAGCTGTGTACAACTTGCAAAATGTATAAGAAACTTGGACAGCTTTCTGGCGCTTCCTTACCATTATTACGTTCAGAGTTAGACAGAACGTAGTAGTAGTAGTTGTAGGAGGAGGGGTAGTAGTAGGACAGGTAGTAGTTCATTGAGAAGACTGGGTTGAATGGGAGGAGGGTGGAGGAAGGGGAGTGTTCATGTGATAGAATGATCAGACGAACATGTCAAGTGTTTGATAACTACATCTCTAATACCATTGACAACTCGAGAGTTGTCACCTGCATATGAATGCAAGAATTTAATTGTCGCGTGGATGTGCGGAAAGGGTAAGGTGCTCAGGCACGCCGCTGGAATACACAGGTGTACTTCACACGCTGGGGGAATACAAAGGTGTTCATCACATGCTAGGGGAATACAAAGGTGTTCATCACATGACGGGGAATACAAAGGTGTTCATCAGATGCTGGGGAAGTACAAAGGTGCTCATCACACGCTGTTGGAATACAAAGGTGTTCAGCGCATACTGAGGAATACAAAGGTGTTCTTCAGACGCTGGGGAATGCAATAGGTGTTCTTCAGACACCGGAGGGAGGTAGGAATGCAAAGAACACATGATATTCCTGAAACTCTAGGAAGAAGCGGAGAATTCGGCATCGGGCTTTGTATCGTATCCATAAAGCGCAAAATGACTTTAAAAGTAGACGGAAAGGTGCTTCACACAACATTATTTAAAAGAACTACAAGTGCGTTAGGCTGGCCAGTGGGATTATGCTGTGTCCCAAGCTGGCTAGTGGGACGGGAGTCCTGGGGCTGCTGTTACATATCCAAGGCCGGCAACCTATCCCTTGTACACATACGTCGGTACAGCAACTGTAACACTGTAGTGTGTTAGGTTAGGTAAGGTTCGTCAGGAAACAGGACAAATGTTTCCTGACGCGGGTCTTAGTCAGATGATGACCCGCCTTTGGAGCTTTTGGTCATCTGACCGAGGCCTTCCGCTGGCTTACCGGTCCACCCCTTTAAAAATTATGGTAGTTTTGTTTTTACGTAGTGTTAAGTCAGCAGCCTACTCCACGTTTTCTATTTTTTTCCTGCGCTACGTCTTTGTAGATGTATCAGGACATGTTTTTCCTGTTCGCTCCTTTGTAGTTAAATATACGTTTTTTTTGGGTTTATGAAGGTATACTTCCAGGTGTACTTTACCTATATTAACAAGTTGAATATAACTGGGAAACGTGGAATGAGTGAAGTTAAGTGACACTTCAGTTACTGACTTTTAAAATGACTGCCTTTTAGTTTTACTCTGGTCTGTGGGTCCCGGTTTTCTGTGTGCTTTAAAATAGTCTCGTGAAAGTAACAAATTACTCTGTAGATTAGAAGTACTAGCTACCAAATGAGTGTAATATATGTAGGTGTGTGTGTGTGTGTGTGTGTGTGTGTGTGTGTGTGTGTGTGTGTGTGAGAGAGAGAGAGAGAGAGAGAAGCAAGCAGATAGTTTTCACGTCAGTTTTAACAGTATGGAGAGGGGGGGGGGGAAGATTAGTTGGATATTGGTTGGTGGGATGAAGGTTGTTCGGGAAGCAGCAGCAGCAACAATAGCATTAATAAAAGGTGTAACTGATAGTAGCAGTAATGACGTAAAGGTTGTGGCTTGTGGGCAACATAGGACCTAGCCCACTGCCCACCATGCCACCCCGCCCACTACCCACCATGCCACCCCGCCCACTACCCACCATGCCACCCCGCCCACTACCCACCATGCCACCCCGCCCACTACCCACCATGCCACCCCGCCCACTACCCACCATGCCACCCCGCCCACTACCCACCATGCCACCCCGCCCACTACCCACACCATGCCATCCCGCCCACTACCCACCATGCCACCCCGCCCACTACCCACCATGCCACCCGCCCACTACCCACCATGCCACCCCGCCCACTACCCACCATCCCACCCCGCCCACTACCCACCATGCCACCCGCCCACTACCTACCATGCCCATCCCGCCCACTACCCACCATGCCATCCCGCCCACTACCCACCATGCCATCCTGCCCACTACCCACCATGCCACCCCGCCCACTACCCACCATGCCATCCCGCCCACTACCCACCATGCCACCCCCGCCCACTACCCACCATGCCACCCCGCCCACTACCCACCATGCCATCCCGCCCACTACCCACCATGCCATCCCGCCCACTACCCACCATGCCACCCCGCCCACTACCCACCATGCCACCCCGCCCACTACCCACCATGCCACCCGCCCACTACCCACCATGCCATCCCCCCCACTACCCCACCATGCCATCCCGCCCACTACCCACCATGCCACCCCGCCCACTACCCACCATGCCACCCCGCCCACTACCCACCATGCCACCCCGCCCACTACCCACCATGCCACCCCGCCCACTACCCACCATGCCACCCCGCCCACTACCTACCATGCCATCCCGCCCACTACCCACCATGCCATCCTGCCCACTACCCACCATGCCACCCCGCCCACTACTCACCATGCCATCCCCGCCCACTACCCACCATGCCACCCGCCCACTACCCACCATGC